GAAGTCAGTTAAATGTTATTTTCAAAAACTGAGGTGTTTTGATCTGAGTCCATATTGTCCATAATACTGTCAGATCATCTGTAAGAAAACTACGGATTTATCATTCAGAAAAGTCTGAGGTCACTAGATTCTACCTGAGACAGAAGTCAAACTCAGAAAGATTGTCCGTAATGCAGAGACCCCCCCCACTCTTATCACTATGTATAGTGATGATAGATATGTATATATAATACTTATCACTCAAGTATTTCTATTTAAAAGATTACACAAACTATTCAAAAACCTACATTCGCTGTTTGCACTGCAATCTGCTAAGCCTCCAGTGCACCTGAAATTAAGTTCAGAGGCACACTCAATTGTAGCATTAACCAACTGCAGAGTACACAGTGATCAAGGACCACACAGAACCTCAGTGTCCAGGAATACGTTGAAACTTTATTCCAAGTTCACAGAATTTCTTATTTAGCACGGCTTTATCTCAAAGTCCTTTAACATCCTGCAGCACACATTGATTTTATTCCAAAAGCATGGAAGTTATCATTAATTAAAAAGAGGGAAGATGAAAGAAAGCAAGTAGAATGGTATAATGTGACTAACAGTATTCACACATGTCCTGAACAGTGGAACTAAATGTAATGACAGGCAACTGCATGGTTCAGTGCTTTTCCCGGGGCATTCCCAGTCTCCGAATATGTGGTGCACATACTTTCAGATTCTTCCAGCTTTTTTTCCCATATATTATAGACAGAGAAGTGACTTCAGCTAGGTTAATTTTCTAAAACATCTCCTACAGAGCAGTAAAACAACAGGATACCTCAAGGATTACAGTCCATCCTACCCAAGGCAGGTGAGAAATGAAGCAGCAGTAATCCAAGGAGGAGAATATTCGATTTTCTTCGCACTAGAAATGTCTGAAACTCTTTACTTCATACTGTCTTCACAGAAATTATACACTTTATTCCATACACACAGTTTCATGTGCCAAATACATGATTTTTATATCAAATACGGCTCTTTTAACCAGCTGTACATCTCCCTGATGTCTCTAAGATACTTCATTGAAGATTTACACATATATGGCTTTTACAAAGAATATATTGACAACAATTCTCTTGGGGTATTTAGAAATGGTTAATTAATATTCTGGATAAAACAGTAATATGAAAATGTGATAGGATAAGTCCCACTGTCTTTTAATTTCTTCACCTAAGCAGGGACTGTGGCACCCATCAGATTTCTGAAGCAAGAGAACTGCTCTGTGGTACGTTTAGGCATGTACAGAAAGAGAAATGTAAATGCACAATTTTACTGTGACTCATCTGACCATAAATACAGTTATGAAGTTCAGCAGCTTTTAAGTCAGAGTGGCAATATTACTAATTTATTTTCAGATCATCTTAAGCACACGCTGCAAAGAACACGTGATAAGGGCAGAGGTCATAAAATTACAAACAACCCCTGCCACAAAAAAACATACTGAACAGACCATCAGCCATCCAGGTTTCATAATTGCCCTCTGTCAAATATTAATTGGCATTCTTCTTGTATTTCACTTGTCATTGTAATTAAGAAGAGGAAAAAAAAACAAAAAACTCCAATCAATTTAGAGCATTATCTTGAATTTGACCTCCTCCTTTAATCAATGAAGCAGACTCTCAGTGCTAACTTACAAGACTTTACACTTTACTTGCCGATTTCATGAGCACTTTCATACCTTGTTATTGTGTAAGAGACCTGGGCAGATAACAAACAAAACTTTCTAAACAGCAACAGCAGGAATCTAGAAAGCTGATCAGATACACAAATGCATCATGCGCAGTAGGAGAATATACAAAAAAAAGATTATTTCTCTGTTTTAAGACAGTCTAGCACCTCATTAGTAATACTTCTAACAAAAGATCAAAAAATATTTTTCAAACAACATATTGACTTCAAATTGGTTTTTAAACTATTCTAGCAAAGACTAAAACATACTGACAGCACAATATACATCAGTGAGCTAATTCAAGGTGCTTTGTGTTTTGATGAAACTTCTCCTGAGTGAGCATCCAAGTCCTAGAAAGTGTAAACTATGTCTCATGAAAAGTAAAATATTCATTCAAGGGCAAACATTAACAAATACTGAAAATACCTTGACTTCCTGGTTTACAACCTGTTTCCTCAGCTAAATGTGATTCGAGATAAATAGTTGTAATATGAACAGGATGTTCCAGCTGCTCTATACAAATTGTAAATTTACCATTCAGGAGAATGCAAGCTGTTCCTGAAACTTTAACTGCAAGATCAAGGATAATGGGTTCGCTGCTATTCACAAAGTGACTTGTGAACACAAGAATTTGCAAGCGTTGGCGAAAGTGTCAGTGGAAATCCCAAAACAACAAGTGCTTCATTGCTCTGTACTTCTATAACACACACTAGTTAGCGGTGCGACCTGCTAACTATCAACATGATAAGGGAGACATACAGTCCTGCACAGCTGATGCAGAGCTCAAAAAAGCTGCCACCTCTTTTCCTCAATAACTTTCTTGAAAAATAACCAGAGTCACGGAATATTTACTAAGCCTAGAAGAAAGGACAGAAATCCCATTCAATAAGTGCAGTTGAATTGTTGCACAGGTGTATCTCCAAAGCACTGGAAAATTCTATATACGCAACAAAACTTCTAACATAGCTATACATTAAAACCGTAAATATTTTTCAATTCTACATCAGTTTTCTAAAGAATGTTGGTTCACAGTTTAAAAATACTATAGGGTTTTTGGTTCTAATGAACAGACACTTCAAATGGAAAAAAAAAAAAAAAAACAAAAAACAGAAAAAGTTTCAAAGTTCCTGTTGAAAGAGAAATGTTACTGAATTAAACTCATAGCTTGTTTCAGACACATACAAAAGAAAACCTAAGAAACAAAAAGAAACTTATTCTAGTCCAAAATCCTTCCATGCAGAAATTAGCGTAATATTTGCCAACCACTGATCACAGAATCACAGAATCACAGAATCACCCGGGTTGGAAGGGACCCCAAGGATCATGTAGTTCCAACCCCCCTGCCTAGCAGGGCCACCAAACATACACATTCAGATCAGGTTGCCCAGGACCCCGTCCAACCTGGCCTTAAACACGTCCAAAGACACAACCTCCCACAACCTCCCTGGGCAGCCCATTCCAGGGCCTAACCACTCTCCTAGTAAAGAACTTCCCCCTAACATCCAACCTCAATCTTCCCTCCTTCAACTTGGATCCATTTCCCCTCGTCCTGCTGTTATCAGCCCTTGTGAAGAGTTTACTCCCCTCCTGGGTGTAGGTTCCCTTCAGGTATTGATAGGCTGCAATGAGGTCACCCCGCAGCCTTCTCTTCTCCAGGCTGAACAAGCCCAACTCCCTCAGCCTGTCCTCATAGGGGAGGTGCTCCAGCCCCCTGATCATCTTAGTCGCCCTCCTCTGGACCCTTTCCAAAATCTCAATGTCTTTCTTGTACTGAGGGCTCCACACCTGGACACAGGACTCCAGATGGGGCCTCACAAGAGCCGAGTAGAGAGGGACAATCACCTCCCTGTCCCTGCTGGCCACCCCTCTCCTGATGGAGCCCAGGATCCCATTTGCCTTTCGAGCTGCCAGAGCGCACTGCTGGCTCATATTCAGTCTCTCGTCCATCAGGACCCCCAGGTCCTTCTCTGCCGAGCTGCTCTCAAGGACCGCTCCTCCCAGCCTGTACAGGTGCCTGGGGTTCTTCCAGCCCAAATGCAAAACCTTGCACTTTGCCGTGTTGAACCTCATCAGGTTCACCCGAGCCCAGCCCTCCAGCCTGTCGAGGTCCCTTCTGAATGGCATCCCTTCCTTCCACCGTATCAACCGCACCACTCAGCTTGGTGTCGTCAGCAAACTTGCTGAGGGTGCACTCAATTTTCCCTCATCGATGTCATTAATAAAGATGTTAAAGAGCACCGGTCCCAACACAGACCCTTGGGGGACACCACTTGTTACTGGCCTCCACCTGGACATAGAGCCATTGACCACCACCCTCTGTCTGCGGCCTTTCAACCAATTGCTTATCCATCGGGTCGTCCACCCATCAAATCCACTTCCCTCCAATTTGGAAATGAGGATGTGGTGGGGGACCATGTCAAAGGCCTTGCTCAGGTCCAGGTAAATGACATCGGTCCCCTTCCCTTCGTCCACCAATGCCGTCACTCCATCATAGAAGGCCACAAGATTAGTTAGGCATGACCTTCCTTTGGTGAAGCCGTGCTGGCTGTCTCGGATCACATGCTCATTCTTTATGTGATCGAGCATGTTGTCCAGGAGGATCTGTTCCATGATCTTCCCAGGCACGGAGGTGAGACTCACCGGCCTGTAGTTCCCCGGGTCCTCCCTGCTCCCCTTCTTGTATATGGGAGTGACGTGACCCTTCCTCCAGTCGTTCGGGACCTCACCTGACAGCCACGACTTCTCAAATATGATGGAGAGCGGCTCGGCAACCACCTCAGCCAGCTCCTTCAGGACCCTGGGATGCACGCCATCCGGCCCCATAGACTTGTATTCATTCAGTCTAAGGAGGCACTCTCGGACTTGCTCTGCCCTTACAGTGGGGAGGGATTTACCTCCTTGGTCCCCACATAGAGGTTTGGGGATGCAGGGTTCAGGGACGTGAAAAAGACTAGAATCCTGGCCACCAGTGAAGACCGAGGTGAAGAACTCATTCAGCACCTCAGCTTTCTCTTCATCTGTTGAAGCCAGTTCTCCTTTTAAATTTACCAAAGTAGGTACTGATCACTGCTTCTCTTTCAGAAAGTCCTTTACCAGCATCACTACTTCTCTGTATGTTAGGAAAAGTCCCTTTAAGCTACTTTTAAAAGTCCCCAGGTATACAATAAATAAAAAAAGATTACCAATAGTGCAAACAGTGCATTTCAGCACAATGAGAACCCTAGTCTACCCAACAAGCTGTCTTAGTTTGAACTTGTAAAAGAATTCACATTAAATGCACAGAAAAAAATAATACCTGGTGAGCTCTTCTTTAATCTTCAAGGGTTCATGAGGGTAGAATTTCACTCTAAAGCACATGGTATATGGTGGATGAGCTGAAAAATCATAAAGAAAAAGCATGAGAACAATAGCAAATAACATTGCCTTAGCTGCTCTGAAGAAGTGGCCTCCAAGAGTCCTATGAAGAAGCCTGTGTGAAGGTTAGCTCTGAAGAATCAGGCGGGAATTAAAATAAAATAAAATAAAATAAAATAAAATAAAATAAAATAAATGCACATTAAAAGAACAAAGTAAATGACAAAGACGAAAGGATGTGCAAAATACAAGCAATCTACGCAAATCAATTTATACATGGTTTTGCACTTGACAAGCAGTACCAAAAAAAAAAAAAAAAAAAAATTGAACTTCCCATTATTTTTATTTTTCTTTTTTTTTTTTTTTTTTTTTTTTTGGCAATTTATGAACAGGAAGAATTTTTATCTAGTTACAGTAAGGTATGAAGATGTTATGAATAATTGTTATTTCTGGTAATGATAATGCTAAGATAACAAAAATAGAAGGAAACATTAATTAACTTTAGCTAAGGAAGTTAGAGAAAGAATTGTTTCTGTTTTCAGTACTTAATAAGACCCCATTATCTACTTCTATCACATCAGCCCTGGGCCTTAAATACACTTAATATGCTTAGAGAGAAAGGCAGAGAGAAAGAAAGGGAGGGAGGGAGAAAGGGAGGGAGGGAGAAACAGTAAGAGAGAAGGAGAGAAAAAAGAGAAAGAGAGAAAGAGAAAGAAAGAGAGAGAGAAAAAGAAAGAAAGAGAGAAAGAAAGAGAGAGAGAAAGAGAGAGAGAAAGAGAGAGAGAGAAAGGAAAAGGAAAAAAGGAAGAAAATTACAGTTACAGAAAAGATTTAACGTAAGCAATCTGTGTCTCTCAGCTCTACATTAATGAACAGAGCTTTATATCCTACTGTTGTATCTTTTATAGCATTCAAGATACCATCTAACCCAAAGCTAGTAATCATTTGGTGATTACAAAAGGAGCTGAAAGCAAATAAAACACCATTATTCTAATGAAAGAGGCATCTTTCAAATATCATGTTAGGAGAAAATAAGTGTGAAAACCACATTGAGGGCTTAAAAATGTATCAGGCATGGTAGGGATAGCAATCAGAACTATCTGTAGCCTGATAACATTTGTGGGTTTTTTCAGATTTCTGTTGAAATAAGAAGGAAAATCCTGCAAATTCAAAAAGTAAATGGTGTGGAGAGAAAACTACTGCACTATCACACAAGTCATTGGAAAATCTACAGGTTACCTCATGAGAGATCATAGGGATGAACGCTTCTGTGGGCTTTTTCATCTTATATGTGATGCCATTATTGTCTTAAAGGGATTGAAAATTTTCTGTAAAACATCCAACATTGCTATGTCCTTCCTGCCCTGTAGAAAGGACAACTAAACTCAAACTAAACTCAATGTCCCATGAAGGAAAATGAAGGAGTCACATTACCTGGACAAAATGAAAGATAATGTTTGTCATTTTAAATGGTCTCTCTCTTCTTAATAGGATTCTTACAGCTAAGCAAGGGACAAAATTTTGCACTTTCAGAATGTGCTTCCACTTAGAAAACTTGACAGAAGAGATAGCTTGTATTAAATGGTTAAGAAAAACTCCTCAGTAAGAAAAATACTCAAATGTCCTGATAGATATAGAATTTGTTTCTGCTTGAAATGGGGATGCAGAAAGAATCTAGTTAGTAAAAGCCTACAAAAGACCCTAAAAATTTGAGCAAAATTTTTATGTCAGTGAAGTGACATGAAACTTCGACTGTGAAAAAGCAAAGAAAGTTAATGGCAGAAGAACCAAACTCTTGGTAACTTGTGGCAGCAGCAGAAAAGCAATAATGACTCTTCCCTGTGCAAAAGAGTATCAGACCAAAGAAAGCTCACAACCAGTCAATAGCTAAGTTTATAACAGAAATGTTGTCCCTCTAGCACAGCAGCATTCAGTGGAAGTATATTTAAACACTCAGAATGCACAGGAGACTGGGCAAGGTAGTTTGAAGCCAACTTGAAGCCTTTTCCTAGACTCCTCCTCAGGAGAGCAGCAAATAACACAAAACAACGCTCCAGCTGCCTGCTAAATAGATGTACTTTTTCTGCAACACACACAAACAGCATGATCCCAAATTGCAATTTGAAATACTAGAAAGAATATGACACCATGCATTCCTTTAAGCTCTAGAAGTGTTACAGGGCACTTTCACCTACAGAAGAAAAAAGGATTTTCTTTTCCAGGCCCTTTTTCTCAATTAGAAAATAAGCCACAACAAACATTTGAGGCAAGAGGGAGGGAGAAAACATGTACAACACTTTCTTCTCCAACATGAGTTTAAAATATACCATAATCATAATATTCCTACAAAAACCAAAACAGAGATATGCAAACATTTATAAGGCCTTTGTCTTACAGATATTACAGCAGTGGAGAAACGCAAAAGAGAACCTCACATTCCTTCATTCTATACATATTGCCCTGAAAAGCGAGATAGTCAGTGGATTGTATCAGCTCAGAAAATGAGATTGTCAAATCCAACAATTCCTCAGTTCCTTGAAATTAAAATTACTTTCTCACTTTTACTCAAGTGGATGCAGTAACAACAACAAACCTTCCCAAAACAGAACTCAATTTTCAGAACTTCTCTTCAACACTGAACGTCTGAATAAAATCGGGGTTATAATAGCTCTAAGCCTTTTCTCTCCAATGGGTCCTTTATCAGATAAGGAGCAGCTAGTGTAGGGAAATGCCCAAGGGTTTTTCAGAACATCCTACCACTGCAAACTTTCCTTTCTTACTAAAAAAGATTCACAGTTAAAATAATTTTGAAGGATTTTATCACTTAGAATAGTACTGACTGTAAAATCTGTTGCAATAGGGCTATTAATTTGGCTGATTATGTGTTAACAGTATATAAAAGATGATGGCCAAAAAGAATAAAACTTACTTTAATTATGTCAAATGCTGAAACCTTCCACTGCTTGACCTAGACCCCCCATGAAAGAGCTTACACACACAGCATGCGAAGTTTTTTGTGGTAACAGATTTTAAGTTTCAAGATTTTGATTGCCTTTAACTAAGAGAAACTATCCAATATGCATTAAACAGTAGGGAGCTCTTAGTTGAAAACCAAACCTTCAATACCCTGACTGAAACAAAGAAGGAGGTAGGACATGGAACTCAGTGCATCTATTTTTAAGCAAGGCTTCCTATATCACTTAATTTGGCTTTATATACAAATTGCTTACAGGAATGATAAGCCTAAGAAAAATTACACATTTATATTATCATTTCCTTTATTGGCAGAAAATCTGAAATAACAAACAAACAAACAAAAATTTTAAAAGTACAGTGAAAATCTTGATATAAGTTCTGTAAGTGTTTGATTCCTCTTCTTTTTCAACAACATGCTTTTCAACCAGCATAAATACTGACCTCAGCAGAGATCTATATTGGCAGTATTTCTTTTTTTTTTTTTTCTATTAAACACGGAGTTTACACAGGTACCAAAAACACATGTTTAAGTTACCTTCATAACCTTGTGGACACAACATGGCATAAAACTTCCTCTATCTCCCTTTGCTGTTGTAGATTCTCTGAACTACATTATCTCACCAGCATTTAGCGCTCATTGTACAATATATATTTATATATACTCCAGCTACCTTCATGTTAACTACCACTACAAAGGGACCTCTGGAGAACCATAGGACATATGCTACGTATGATGCTGATTCCATATATCTCTTTCCTTATTAAGTAAATCAGATGTTTATCCACATAACTGCCTGAGCATGTTTAAGGCAGACCACTACTCAGTGGTTTTATTTTATGCATGAGGGATTGCTAATCTGTCGCAGACCTCCAACTGTGGAGTCTTCCGCATCACATTTAATTAGCTGTGGTAGAACACCAGGCAAGAAGGATTTTCATCAGCCAATTACCATAATTCTTCAAATTCTGTTATTAATTCCTCATGGAGTCAAAGATAAAGAACATAGGGCACTCAGGCTTGTGCCCAAAGAATCACTTGAAACTTCCTTCTTTCAATGCACATGTATTTACAAACCTCATATTTGGTTAAATTCTTTTTTTTTCTTTCCAGATTTGTACTGAGGCATGGAAAAATCCATGGGAAATTAGTTTAAGAATCTGTAAGAAAGATTTCAGCAGTTCATTTCTACACCTGCATTCTTGTTTCCTCCAGTTCATTTCAGCTATTTGCCCATTTAACAATAGCATTACAGTTGAAGGAAATTAAAGTCTCTTAGCACACTCCAATGGCATGATACAGTAGAACATCTTTTCTGCACTACTCTCTCAGATCATCTGAGATGTAAAACAGTAGGAAAACCATGTATTTTGAATACAGAAAAGTAAGACTGATTTTTTTCCACTGTCATCAAGAACAAAACCCACACAGTTAGCTATTTCTCACAAAAGTGGTTACAGGATAGTTGCATACTTGTTATGCAAATAACCTTAAAAATGAATAGGGCAAAAGAGGGAGAATAGAGTGGATGGCAAAACTGTTCTTTATGAATATTAGTGCTCAAGTGACCAGTAAGACTTACACTGGGACTCTTCTAGATATAAAATAAGTATAAAAACATTAGAAGCTGGCAAAACAGAAGAACTTTACTGCCAGCATCTGGGAGAGAAAAACAGTAAAAAATAAAAATAAAACACACAAAAGAACATAAAAACTGGATTAAAAAGGGCTTTACCTAGAACCACAGAGACATAACTGTCTTATGCAAACTCATAAGGACTTGTTAAACACACTGTCAGCAGTATCACTGTCACTTACAGGTGGCAAACAATGTGCTGTAACCAGTACAAACAAAACTGACATTCAAGACACTTCTCAGAGAATAAATTTCCCTCTCAAGAAAAGTAGTAGTAAAAATGGTTGAGAAACAGATTTACAATTTAAGCATCACAGCTATGATAGAGCCATACACTGAAAAACTTGTTACTGTGCAGGGGAAAATGAAGTCTCCCACAAATGGTAGCTGAGATCAAGCATGCAGCATTTCTCCGTTTTTGCTGCATGTATCCAAATACCTTGCAACCATATGCAAATCCAAGTATTCAGTTGAATATAGAATATTTTAAATCATTAGTATTAAATAAAGACTGCTCTTCATTTTGCTGATCTCGTGTGGAAAAGCTGTTCTTACAAAACCCATCATTTCACTGTTTTCTGAATTCCTTGATGGAAAGAAAGAAAAGGAAACCTCCATCTAACATACTCATTTTGAACAGCATTCTGCAACCACTTCTCCCAAAAGTCAGATATACATAATGCATGTTCTTTTACAGTCCCTTCATCATTTCAGTTCTCATGCTTTCCCTACTACTAATTTCAGTCCTCACTTGAGTCACCTGAGACTGTGACACTTTTTAAATTAATACTGGTGATCTATAAACTAGCTTCTGAGTCTAAGTATTTTCATAGTAAACTGAATATTTTTAAACAAAATACAAGTTAACTTTGTGTGCCTTTAGAAATTGTTTAGTATTCTATACTAATACAGTAATATTTTTAGAAAAATGAGCTTCCTCATGTACAATAACATTCTTGAAACCTGTAGAAGAGATATATATATTTATCCATAATATACATGGATTCTATTTATACATGTATATAAAATGTATATATACTTGTTTTGTTTCCTTAAGGCACTAATGTAGAAACTAAAGTCCTTCATCTATTACAAAAAATAAAATTAAGCTACACTAGTATTAAAATGAAAGTTGCTCACGAAAAGCCAACTGCACATTTAATTCTATTTATTTCCCAAATCTTAGGATGATAACAAAACACCTCTGTTGGTCTCTAATTCTTTTTGTTGTTGTTCTTGAGACTTAGACTTTCCACAGTGATAAATAACCTCATACTAGCTGCAACTATTTCACTTCATTTAACATTTTGCTTTCAGTCCTCAGAGTTTTGATTAGGATTCTACCACAAAAGCCACACAGGCCCTCTGATAAGTCCATCACATCACAACATCTATGGAATTTATTAACTACCATCAATCACATCTAGGCAACATATATACACAGACAAGAGTTGTTCTGAATAAATCAAAACACTCTCGGTGCATCTGTTGGCAGAGCTCCTGAACATGTTGCTATGCAATAAAAGCACAGCACTCTTGCTACCTAAAACATCATACAATAAACACATGAACCATAACACAGTGAATAAGCTAGTGCCCATGAATATGCATATGTATGCACATCTTGCAATATATACACTGTAGCACTAATGGGAGAATTCCATCCATCCTCCACCCAGGTGTTTTTGTTTGTTTTTACATATTTGACAATCTCTTTAGATTCATCTCATTTTAAAATAAGCAGTCTCCCAAATAAAATATTCCTTGTATTCATACTTTAAAAACAAAGTAATTGCCTACAAAGAGGTTTGTGAGTAAAACCTGCCTTCATTTCAGAATCTAAGTTGATAGACAACAACTTTTTCTGAACAAGATGCAACTCCCAGAGCCCTAAATCAAGTCTCCAGCAACAGTCAAATAAACAGCTACTTTTGCTGCTGGATGTATTCTGCTGTAGTTCTGAGTATTGAAGTACCTCTGTTTAATGACAAGGTCTTCACAGTTGGACCATTTAATGGAAAGCATGAGCCAGATCATAACATTTCAAACAGACAGTTCAAATGATGCATTTCTATTTTATTAAAAAAAAAGGTTGTAATTTTCTCCTTGTCTATGGCAGTAATTCACAGCTACCTAGCACTTAAGTTTATTTGTCTGCAACAATGATCTTAAACTAACGCTCTGCATTGGCAGGAAGCACTGAGCTGTGGAAAGCAAGCAAATGAGCAAATAAACAACAACAAAACAGTGATCACAGTAGATGGTCACACTCCATACAGTAGATGGTCACACTCCATACTTCATTGCTGCCTCCCAATGCTTGACTAAGCTGACTGAAATAGAGAGCCACAGGATACAAGTCCTTTCCTCACCAGATCTGCCACTCCACAAATGTCAGCTGGCCTCTGGCTCCTACCTTGCACAATAAGGTGTGCAGAGTTGTGAAAGAACAGTGAAATAAGGTTTTACAGAGATTCTGGATAGACCATGAAAGGCCTCTCTCCAACAGGAAATAAATAAAGTGCACTCTAAAATATTGCACAGAAGCACAGAAAAGACTTTGAGCACTTCAAAACCACATTAAAAACACAAGCTCTCAACACTTACATTTCATTTGCTTGAAGATGGACTTATTGGGCTCAAGCCAGTGCTGGAAAGGCAAAGCGGAGATCAGAGGTTAATACAGATCACAGGAGGCAACAAAATCCTTGAAGACATATGTGGCATAAAAAATGGGAAGTAGCATTTTTTCTTTTACCAGACACAAGGTAAAGCCACCTCCATGCTGTTATTATACTGTAATTGCACTGTATAAATTGTTCAGAAACATAAACATTTCCTGTTCATTACTGCTGTCTTCTACAGACCCTATGTAACTAAAGAATGTATAAATAATATATTTCAGTCAATATTCTCAGAATACAAACTATTGCTCTTTTCTAGGAAGAATTGAAAATTTGAAAGGCACACTTCATTCTATCCAAAAATTGTATTTTCCACAAAATGTTTACTTTGTGGACAGTGAAAGCACAACAGAGAGGTAAGAATGCCTACCTAAGTTTCTAACTTTGAGGGGAAGTACTGTAATGGAAAGAAAACTTTCAGTTTTCACTCTCCTGGAAAATAAACCCAAATGCTTTGGTGACGTAAAAGTAGGCTCACATTTCAGTTAAGAGCCTTACCACATCTCCTGCTCACACTAGCTGAACTGTTCAGGAGGATGTCTTGATTGACAAAAGAACATGCTGATATTCAAGTACCACTTCTGACTACAGCCAAAAGCATTTGTACAAGGATTTTTCCAGTAAGCAAAAAATCTCCACGCTAAAATGAGATCTGTGCTGCAGAAGCAGCTGGTCAAAAAGTGTACTATTCAGCTTTAGTAAGCAGCATCAACACTGGAGGGCCTTAGACCACGGGGAGTGGGGAGGGGAGGGCGCTATATTTTTAACCCTTTTCATTGTGGCTCTAAATCCTACTTCAAGAAGAAAACTTCGTAACTGTATGACCGTGTGTAATATTTGAAATGCCTTTAAAGGCAAATTCTGTGGCTTTTCAGGAACATTCACATACAGTTAACAGCAATATTGAAGATTTGGAGATAAGCATTATTACATACTTCTGTTTGAAACTCTCTTACAGCTGTGAGACTTATGGAAACCTAGTACTCACATAAAACAAAACAAAACAAAACAAAGCCCACATCCCAAGCCCCATCTAACAAAAAAAAATTTACACAATTTCTCCCTCTCCCTTCTGCTCAGTGTATTTCTTTTTGCTGTAAGGGAATGAAATATTAGTGAGAGAATAACGCCTGGATCACCAACTCATCAAATGTCTAGCACATCTGACTCTTTTCCAGATCACACAGATGTGTTATTTCTTTATCTTGCTCTGAAGAATAGTGAATGGTGTGAAGGTAATGGTTGTCCTTAAAAAGGTAATTAAAGAAATTTGATACAGTACTTCATAGATCAGAACCAACAGATAGTAAAGCACTTAAGATGCATAGATGCAAATTTACTTTCCTTAACCTATTCAGAAGGCCCACCCCACTATCACCAGGATCCAGACAGTTCTCACTGAAGAGTCAGATAGAAAAGAGAATATGGACAAGGAATAGTCCCGTAATGTTCCCAGAGAGTGGAGAATCAGAAGGCTTCTCAATATTTTCATCCAGTAAGAGCAGGCCACGTTTTGTTTGATATTTTCTTTTGAAAGGCCAAGCTGAAATACCAGCACACAGGTCTGCTCCTATGGCTATTTGAAGAAGTCAATTACCTATTCTAATAAAAAGCAGAGACAAAAAAAAAAATAATAATAAAATTGCAAATATGAAATCCTCACAATTCATGAATAAGGGAAAGGGCAAGCTGGAGAAAATAATTAATGCACTTATCTTTTTTATTTAATTAAGGGATTTAAGAACTGAATGGAGCAAGTACTGGAAAATATCCTTGAGCACCATATAAAACAGGGTGTACAAATACAGAAAAATTCCTCATGCACCAGACTTCCAGAAGTGAACAGATGTTTCGCTAAGGCCCGGCTTTTGTGGGTTAAAAATGGAGCAAATGGAACAATGAAGCAGTCTCAGTTTTCACTTGGAGGTCAGGGAACTGACAGGAAGCTTTTAGAAGCTCAGATTTCCATAGTGACCTCTGTTGATGGAAATATATAGGCAATTCAGTCAAATCTTCCAGAAAACTAAGTAGTTACTTTATGATTTTTGGAGATTTTCAAAGACACAGCAATTAGGTGTCTAGTGCTATCTGACTGTCAGGGGAATATAAACACCTCATCAACACTTCTGAAAATACCCACCCCTATATTTGTCTGCATATTTCAATTTTAGTTGTAGGAAAGATCTTCCCTCAAGTATTTATCTTCAAGTCTCACAGAGTTAACTATTAATAATTAAAAATTAATAATTAAAAATTGTGCCTCATCTCTTCCATATTCATGCTATATTTATTCCAAGATTAATAAGCTGTTATAGCTAGGACAAGATTAAGGATCCTATAAATTCACTCAAGGTTTGTTGCAGCAGATTTCAATTGGAAAGCATTTTCATTACAAAATATGTTTTGTTACCAAACTTTTTTCTACATTTTTTTCTGGAGAAGAAAAAATCAACAGTTGAAGGGAAAATGTAACATTTCCTTTTCAGTTAGCTTATTGAGCAACTTTTTAAAACCATTTTAGATCTTCAGTTACAGAAGTGTCTCAACACTACCATATACCACACTGTCTTGTGGGAACAGACCACAGGTGTTTCAAACTTTCTTTACAGCTAGCATCTCATAAGACAAATAAAATAAATTAGCAAATTAAGCCACCCTTAAATCTGGAACCCATTACAAGATTTTTTTTTTTTTTTTTCTAGAGAAATGTGCAAATCTGGGGGGGGTGAGAGGACAGCATTGTATTTGTCTCATAAATTTCACACTGTCATCAACACAGGGTTCTTAATTGGAAGATGGTTTACATCTTCTCAACAGGGTAGACCTGGCATTTAGGGACATGGTTAATGGGCGTGCTGGTGATGGGTGACAATTGGACAAGGTAATCATAGTTGTCTTTTCCAACCTTTATGAATAGAAAGCATTCCTGCAGTGGCTGAGTCTCTCATTTCCCAGATGGCGCACTAGTAACACAATCCTCATCCAGTATAGAAGACTTTAATTCTAATCCAGCCAGCACCTATTATTACCAAAGAGCTTGCTACAAGACTCATGCCCAACATTAATTTCTAACCTCTTCTGCTGAAAGTAGTTTGAATGTGGGCTGGGTATCTGGATGGTCAGCCAGATGCCCTTGCAGAAGCAGAAGGCAGAGAGCAAGTCATTTAGAGATACTAAAGGTCAATCACAAAGATAGCTACTTACTCTTGATGCTTCAAGTGCCAGCTATGAGTAAGCAAAATATTACACCTTAGATGTTGTGCAGTATGCTTAAAACTGTTTTCTGCATCTGTCCTTGAGTAACTGCAGGCTCTCCCACTAAGGGTTCCTTGCAACTGCAAACTGTGTTTTAGACTAGAGTAATTTTTACTTTGCAAATGCAACCCTCACCTCTGAACAGAATTTAAGTGGCACTGAGTAGTCATTAGTGAGGCCAGGTGTGTGCCTCTTACAAATGCTGAGTAGCTGATGTACTAAGAGTTTTCACTGAGCAAGAACACCACACAAGGGTACAAGCTCCATTCTAGTAAGCGGATTTAACTCTGCAAATGCTAATGTGCTTCTAGCAAAAATACAGCAACCAGTAAGCTGCTTCAAATGAGGTAATTTACTGCAAAGCTAAGACAAGACTGATTTTGGTTTCACTACAGCACAGGAATAAGGCATTTAGAAGAAAAAGGGGGAAGGAAGGAACACATAATGTTCAGTATCTGCTCTCACAGGCCTTGTAAAGGCATCAGGTGCCATAAATTATAATTCCCATACCATTCTTCCTCCACATTGTGACAGCAACTCTACAGTGCAAAGATGTGTGTTCCATTTCCTGTTTCAGTGGAATCTAGTACAAGCTTGACGTAAAACAAAGCTAAGATTCTAAATAATTGCTGAGCCAGATGGTTAGGATCTGACCAACAAATTCATTAATGTCTTCCTCTTCCTTAACAGTAGAGGGTTTTGATTTAACCCATGTGTTTGCAAGATCAGCAGTAACAAAAGGGATTACCAAAACATCTGAAATGTAATTAATATTTAAATTTTCTTCAGCAAGCAATTATACAGGGCTCAGGTATGCCTATGGTTAAACAATTAGAAGAACCAGCAGGCATCGCGGTAATACTCTGGCCAAGAATGGACTAGCTTTAAAGACATCAAGGGATAAAAGAGAGTAGGAATATGGAAAAATGCATGGAATCGCTGCTAGAAAAGTAACGAAACTATTTTATTTAAACCTCAGCCATACATTAATTGTTGGAATGAATGCCTTACCCTTCCCTTTAACAAAAAACAAAAGCAAAATCAATTTGCTTTAGCCTCAGGGCAGCAGCTTGCACCAGGTCACTGCCTGATAAAATTTGAACTTTTTAAAAAAAATGTAACAGTACCCAAAGCTAATGGCAGCTGTCAGACAAAGAAATTAATTGAGTGCTTACTTTATATCAGCCAAATGACCCATGGTGACTGCTTGCCACCTTCTTCATGCCTTAGGGCTGACATCGTTTTTTTTTATGCCCTCAGGAGACTCTAAAAAAGAATACTGATACTGTTCTATTGCAGCGAAAGAGCTCTTCCCTACTCTTCTCAAAATTAGGACAACTGTGGTCAGTGGTGCGCTAAGCAAGAAGTAACAACAGATCAGAAACAGTACCACTTACTAGAACAGGAGCACCTTTTGTACAATTATGAGCTGGAATTTATTAAAAAATTTTCCAGACTGTCATTCTGTAATTATATGCAATTATACTGACTTTTTCAGAGACTGTCCAATGTTGTATGTCGGAGCAGCTCAGCTGACAAATAACCTCTACATTAGTTGAATATCTGTCTTTAAAATCTTCATTTACTGATGTATGCTTGAATTGCCACACTCTCATGATCCGAACAGCTTTATGATGATGGAATAAAAATCTTTATCTTTATTAGAACAGCCTGCACAATGGTTCAGTTTATCAGGTTACTAGTCTTCACA